CAAGAAAAAAAAAAAAAGCTTCATACTGCACCTTTAAGATAAACTTAACACAAGCTCAAAATCTCCAAAATCCAGGTTTTATTTATTTATTTGTATGCAATATATGTGTAATATAATACATGCATATTTTAAAAATGTAAACATTTTTTACACTACTTCAAATATTTGCATATAAATACATGTAATGGTAAATGTTCACATTTAGTTTGCACTTTACTAAAAGCACTTTACATCAAGGAACGATTACACACATGTGATGTTGCTCAAGAACACAACAGCAGTATGCCTTGGTATATGGGATTAAACCTCCAAATAGTCCAATGCCATAGAAAATGTAACTTCATCATACACTTATTTTGTTTATTTTTTACCGTCTATTTACCAAGGCCATTTTACAGTGTTTGCCAGAAGAAGAATCCCCCATCACTTTTAATCACTGTTGACCATGTCCCATTGTGTGCAGCTATACCGGACGGACCCTCTGCTGTGCGTCCCCCCCACAGCGCAGGTACCTGGTCCAGTACTTTCTGAATTGCTCGTCTCTGAAGCCGTAGATGACCGGGCTGAGGAAGCGTGGGATGATGTAGACCACCAGGAAGAAGATGTATCTGATCTCCAGACTCAGGTGAGGGAACAGGGAGATGAGAGCCGCCTGCAGGGAGGGCACCACAAACGCGAGCATGCACAGGAGCAGCTGGAGTCAACAAAGGGAATGTTATTATTAATCAAGCCTTGGTATTACTATTCCAATGCATTTTTAATGGTGTAACTTTGTGGTTGGGTGTCTGTCACCTTGTTTCTATGGACATGTCACTGTTTCAAATGTTCCACAGTATGACATTAAACAGCTCTACCTTACATGTATTCAATTACAGTTGGTTTTACAGATCAAAAATATTTAGAAAAACAGGCATTCTGACTGTGAGCGAAGTTGCCTCTTCACAGATCTGAACTGTAACTTGGTTTGGTTTGGTTTCCATGATGATTAAAAAGGTTTTATGCCATACTGTGAAACATCTCAGACAAAGCAATAACGTCTCCATAGAGAAAAGCAGGTGGCCGACCCTCCACCAGAAAAGTTACACAATGCACCTTAAAATAAATGTGGGTGTCAAGGCTGTACATCTTTAAGGCTGCAGAGGCTGGGCTAGCACTGATTCATGACTGGCTGTAGGTGTTCATGTTGAGGCATTGAGAGTAATTTTTTTAAATCACATGGGGAAAGGCAGTGCATATTGTGCATGATGATGCAGTCATACTGTTACGTTACATACGTTGTGTTTTTTATTTTTTTTCAGTGATTTTATATGACTTTTCACAGACTTTAATGGGAAGAGAGCGTTATTAATCTAACACTTGAAAGATAAAATTTCCTAGACACTGGTTTACTATAGATATTTGGGCAACTAATACATGTTTCCATTGGAGTTTATGTTTGTTTACATTACCAACTAGAAGCAATATAGCATCAGGTGGAAAAAAAAAAATTCTGAGAATTCTTTAAGATTTTTACCATCTGGATTTGAGCAATGAAACTGGCAATTTAAATGAGGGACTCGTATGAGGCTCATTCTGCTTTCTGACTGAAAAACAACAAATTATTACGTAAACAACTTGGCCATGGAGTCCAATGTTTTTACCTTGTGTCTGTGATTATGTCATTTATAAACTCATTTATATATATTATAAACTCACTTTAACTCATGAATAAACTGGATTTTTTATTTATTTTTTATTTTTTTTTAATGAATTGTATTGTTTGGTTGAAGATTCATTCATATCAAAGCAAAGAGTAGCCATTATTTTGAGTTAAGTTTTGATGCCTTCTCTGAGAATTTACATTGTATCATGGAATTAAAGTGTCAATAAGTGTCAATAATTGTGAATTATTGTAAAACCAGATGTTTCTTCTCACTATATTTCATCACTAGGTTCAAAAAGCCAGCCACACCTGCACACCATGCAGCAGCACCGTGTTCCTGGCTCTCCTCACCGACGCCAGTCCAGATGCCGCTTTAGCCGTAAGCATGATCTTACAGTATGTGTAGACCAGCGTGAGGGCCACAAACGACAGGTACGTCCCATCAAACACACAGTTCTTGTAGTAGATGGACCTGTCCCTGAAGAGGAGAGAGTGGTCACAGAAGATGGAGGTCTTGAAGAAGCTGGGAGGTTCTTTGACCACGGTGATGAGAAGGTCGCTGATGGGAGGGGCCGAGGTGAGGATGAGGATGATGCCGATGAGGAGGAGGGTTCTGGGAACGGTGCACATCTGGGTGTAGTGGAGGGGGAAGCAGATGGCGATGTAGCGCTCCAATGCCATTCCCGCCAGGATGAGTGGGGTGGAGCGGGTGGTGAGAACGGCCGTCATGATCTGGGCAGAAGTGAAGTGTACAATTAGTAAAGATTGTAAGATAAAGAAATAAATAATGTACCACATATAACCACTTTTTTGCTAGAAAGTCCCAGTTTTTGGATTAGACCAGGTATGGTACAAAAAAATTTAAAGCACTGTGTAGCTTTGGGGTCTGTCAAATTATTTTCTCCATGGAGATGTTTTTGTTTTGTCTGGAATATTTCACAGTGTGGTATTAAACCTTTCTATCTTCACGGAGACCAAACCAAACAAAGTTACAGGGCAAATCTGTGGAGACGCAAACCCGCTCACAGTCAGAATGCATATTTTATAAGTATTTTTGAGCTATAAAACCACCTGTAATTTAATAAATGGAAAGTAGAACTGTTTAATGTCATACTGTGGAATATTCCAGGTAGAGCAATGACATATCCATAGAAAAAAGCAGGTCAGACACCCAGCCAAAAAGTTACAGAGTGTAACTTGAACAAATTGCTCAATTTCAGATACATCATAATATTTGATAAGATGATAATATTTAATTGAGATGGGTGCAGCTAAAATGAATATTGTTCAAATGTTGATTATTGTTTTTATATAGGGAACTCTCTAGTCACTAATAGAACTGATCAGATTCAACATTTTACAGTGTAATCGAGAGGGAAATTTGTGTTATAGCTTGATGCCAATCAGAATAGATTTTAGAATCACAAAAAATATACACATAAAAAATTAAAGGCTGTCTACACAGAGAAGCTATAAAGCAAGAAAATAATAATAGCTAAGAGCTAAGTAACAGGTTTTATTTTTCATCACATAACATAAATATACATAATTTCATCTATAAACTTGATGGAAAGTAACCTAATCACTTAAGGCTTTATAGTTTACCTTTGTTAGGCAAATATAACTTTCAAATAAAACTACTATAAACAAAATATTTCATCGTAAAACTGTAACTTTGGACTTGATTGAGAGGGAGAACCAAAAGGCAGCAGACGGAGGCGTGGATTTTCCTGAAGATGTAGCTGACCACATAGAGCGCCGTGACCAGGCTCAGCTGCACCGCGTCGTTTATCACCATACTGATGAACATGATGTACCGCGGGTTCTCGTAGAACAGACTGCACACACACACACACATAGATACACACACATAAACACATATACACATCCAAATAAGTTACTGAAGTATTGTAATGAATACTTTTAATGAGCACTTAGGGTTATTGTTTGCTATAAAAGATTATACATTCCACCAGAGAGATTTTAGTTTAATGCTTTCTGATGAGTCAGTAGACTAATATTTACTGCATTGTAGCACTGTTTTTAAACATCCAGTAAAAGAATATTAGGAACAGGGTGAGGAAGTAGTACATATTTGCAATGAGTATCAATTGATTCTGATTTTGAGTTCCATCAACACGACCTAATTATATCTCTATGAAGTAAACAAGTTCAAAGCAAATAGCTTTTACTGATAACAACTGGAATATTCATCTGTTCTTAATTACAAAAACATTGGACATGATGATCACACTCTATTTATTATAATTTGGTGTTTTGGTTCTCAAGACGATTATCCAATCAGAAAGCAGAAGCCTCATGTGAGTCTCTCATTTGGGTTGCCAGTTTCAGTGCTGAAATCTAGTTTGTTTAAACCTAAAAGGACTCTCTGATCTGAATCATCACTACCTAAACCATTGTTTCCTAAAGACTGGGTCACGACCCTCAAGTGGGTCCCAAGAGAGTTTTTTTAGATCACCTTGTCACGATCTGTATGTAGATCTGCAATATATACAGTTCCGACGCATGTTGAAATGTTAAAACATGTTTTGTATAATTTTACATCTTTTTGTAATTATTTTATTGACTATTTTATTCAAATATTGCTAGTTCAATTGAATGTTGAAAAGAAAAAAAAAAAGAGGTACATTTAATGTCCAAATAGGCGACTTAGACCTTGTTGTTGTTGTTGTTGTTGTTGACCTTTTATTGCAGGTTCAATTACTGTTTAACATTGTTTAAAACTTGAGTAATACTAATTGTTCAGAGAGACACGATCACTCAGTCAGCAATAAAATATCCTCATTAATGTTCAATAATGGTCGCATCCACATTTATTTTGTGATTTACAAATAATGTCTATTGACTTGGGTTGTGAAGGTTTGTGACTTAAAATATGGGTCCACAGAAAAAAGTTTGGAAAACACTGACCTAAGCTACTACCTAGTGCAGTCTCTGCAGCTGCACTGTATGTGATCCATGTACTTAGAATGAGAAAAACTTGTATGTTGCAACTTAGGGCACTGGCAACTTAGGTTCACTTATAATTGGAGAAACCTTTTGAACTCTAAGAGTGTGGGCTACATACAATTACAAACTAACTACTGTTATTACTACTATAAAATACATTTACAAAACTACTCTAAGTACATTTTATTGAAAAAGTTTCAGAAGTAAATTCAGCAAATTAAAAGCATGCATGCTTTCTCACCTGTGCCGTAGGAAAGTGTGCACCATGCTGCTGTTGATGATGCTCAGGGCCAGCCACACCAGCATGGCCACGATGTTTTTGGTCAGGGCATTGGAGAAACTGTCTTTGGACACAGTCACAGCATCTACAGATACAGGAGCACTCGCATTACCCACCAGGGCGTCCAGGGAGGTTGAGTTCTGCATCCTGGGCCATACGCCTCATAGCAATCTAGAGACACAAGAAACAAATAGTCAGTAAGTAAAAGTAGTTTATTCAGCCATTTGAAGCATGATAGGAATATACACAACAACCCCACATGAATGACATGGCTGAAAGGGTTTAGGCTGAAGTTAAAATCAACTTATAATGTCTAATCCTGTTAAATTAAATATATTAGGGTTAGGCATTATAAGTATGGGCATCAATGGGTATAAGTGATTGCTTTAGAGACTTCGACTTTGGCAATTTATTGACCCACAAGGGAAATTACTTGGACACAGTAGCTCACACATCACAATATATTACAATAACAGAGTAAAAAAATATATATATATTTTCGTGTGTGTGTGTGTGTGTGTGTGTGTGTTTGTGTGTGTGTGTGCGCGTGTGTGTGTGTGTGTGTGTGTGTGTAAAAAAATGTAATAAACTTCTAAACAAGTAGCAGTAAAAAATAAATAATAATAAAAAAAAAAAAATAGCAAGAGACTGGTATCAATAAGACATACATTATATAAAGTAAAAATAAAGTAAAAGGTGATGTGACAATTGAAAATGTTGACCATATTTGAATATATCTTTAGCAGGTTAAATGGGCTTTTAAAAAAATATATATACATATTCTTTTAAAAAGTACTTTTTTTTTTTTTTGCTTTGGATTAGCATAAAAATAATGTGAAAAGATAAATATTATTTAAGTATGGTCAAGCATAAGAACATAATTTTGAAATAACATTTTGCAAATGTATTGCTTCTCAGTCCAATGCATATGCTGAGTTCTTTCACACATATAGTATAAATGTTGATCAAATTATTGCTTTGAACATATTTACATTATTTAGGCTAATTAGCTTAGCTTGCTTCCTTTTTTCATGTGTATTTTGTGTGTATTTTGAACATTACTAAACGATGTATATTGCTGTTATATGGTGTTTTCTATTCCAAACAAGTTTACCTAATTATAATCAGTGATGAAAAGAGTACTTTGAAAATGTATTTAGTTAGGACAGTGTTGAATACTGATTACTTTTCCACTGAGTTGAATTATATTATTGTGTAAAAACATGGCATATAATTGCAGACAGTTTCTGAATATCTCCAAATGAAAAACTATCTGTACCTGAATACAGTTACTCAAAATCAGTATCCAGAATATGTATTTTCTGATTATAATGTTATGTTATAGACAGAGAAAAGCAGCCATTGATACACTTTTCAGAAGTAAATGATCGATATCACCTGGGCTCTGCAGCATTGTATAAAACAATTTCTAAACATAATTTCACCTTTTAAGATGAAAAAATGAGAACTTTGCACATCAATCACTTGAGATGGGTGTATTGGAGAGGGGGCAGCTCAAGAACATAGAGAAGAATCCCGTACACCGTCTTACTTGCAAAAGGTGAGATTTATTAGGACATACATTGCTGTGCGTCCTAATAGACCTTTTCAGATATACAAGAAAATAAAGACTTGTGTTCATAAAAATATTAAAAACTAGTAAAAACAAAACAAAAAATAACAACAACAATAAAACATTCAAAACTTACATATATTAGTTTAATCTGTGATAAAAAAAAAAATTCAGTTAAAACAAATAAAACATTATATTACCAAGTCTTCATGTTGAGCCACTGACACAGGGTCTGTGACTGCTCTCTCCACACTCTGGGCTCTTTTATAAAGGATTGGGGGAGCCAAGGAGATTGTGTTTATGAAATTGCTATGGGTGCGGGGGTTAAAGGTCATGCATCACTACAACTTGGCTGTCATTAATGGAAGTCATCTTTCCCGTCTCTTGAGGCCTAGTCACCATCTCTGGAGGCCTAATTCTCATGTTTGGCATATTTCACCACATATACAGTGTTTCTATGTTGTTAAAGGCCCTATATTACAAAATGGAGTCTTCTGAGCTTTTTGCCATGTTGTAATGTTGTTACCTCATCAAAAACATAAAGACTGGAAATTCCATAGCTGAAATATGTAATTCTACTGAAGATGTTTAAAAACACAATGAGCCACTTCCTGTATTACCACATGACTCACAAGGTGGAACAAGGTGGAATGTTTTCTGTTTGAGAGAAGAACTCTAAATATACAGGGTTTGTGTGTTAAACAATTGTGAATGAAACAAACCAAAACACTCCATCGAACCAGGACCTGTAGCGTGCAGTGTGAAACGACTGGGAAGAAGATCAGCTCCTCCCAATCCGAGGCCATGGTTCTCGACCGGAAAAAGGTGGCTTGACCTCTCCAGATTTCTGCCTCAAGTGGAGGAGTTCAAGTATCACGGGGTCTTGTTCACAAGTGAGGGGAGGATGGAGCGTGAGATTGACAGGCGGATCAGTGCAGTGTGGGCAGTGATGCGGTCGCTGTATCGAACGGTTGTGGTGAAGTGAAGTTGAGTTGAAAGGCAAAGCTCTCGATTTACCAGTCAATTTACGTTCCTACCCTCACCTATGGTCATGAGCTTTGGGCAATGACCGAAAGGACAAAATCGATACAAACAGCCAAAATGACTTTCCTCTGCAGGGTGGCTGGGTGCTTCCATAGAGACAGGGTGAGGAGCTCAGAAACACGGGAGGAGCTCGGAGTAGAACCACTGTTCCTCCATGTCAAGAAGAGCCAGCTAAGGTGGCTTAGGTGTCTTTTTCCGGATGCCTCCTGAACGCCTCCCTCGTGAGGTGTTCCAGGAATATCCCACCGGAAGGAGGCCCAGAAGAAGACCTAGGACACACTGGAGTCTCTCGGCTGGCCTGGGAACACCTCATCCCCCCGGAGGAGATAGAGGAATGTTAGGGATGATGGAAGTATGGGAGTCCCTGCTTAGAACTCTGCCCCTGTGACCCAGCTCTGAATAAGTGGGAAAAAAATGGATGGATGGCATTTTACTTCCTGGTTGGACATGGGCAGCAGCTACGACAATACATAGAGGTAATGCCATAACTGTTACCTAGCATCTATAAGGAAAACAAAGGCCAAAACCTCCCTATCTTACACAGTAGTTATGATTAGGCAAAAAAAAACACATAACAACACCTTTATTTGTGTTCAGTTCTAATCTGTCAGGAAAGTTGTCTTGCGTTGATGACAGATCGAGGTAGGCCTATTCTGTTTTAGAACTCAGCGCAACTTCCAGTATATTTTTGTACCTTTCTGTGATACATATGTGCACTATCCCTTCAAACCAAGGAATAATTAGAAAAAACATGAAAACCTGCTGCATTCACTTTACATAGAAATAATCGTTAATGCCAAACTAGACTACTGAAAACTTTTTATTTATGTTTTTCAACCAAAATATTGTACACAAACCACACACATGAAAGTGAGTACATCACCTTAGAACAGATTGAGATACTCCTGAAATACCACCAGAGGGAGCCAGCACACCATCAAAGCTTCAGGTGAACAGTGTGTTTGAAAGTCATTTATTAATCAACAATACAATTTATAAAGAAGACCCTAAATATTTTGGCTATGCGTTAAGTTTTTATAAAGAATATCACTTATCACAAACGATAACAAGTATACAACCTAATTTAACCAAAACGTGTAGGCTATTCTTTCAGTATATCATGACAAAATGTGTTCAGTGTAATACTTTAGTGGCAGCTGATGGGAAAATTCAGCCCCAAACTCTCACTGACACAGGTAAAGAGAAAAAGAGAAAAAAAAAAAAATTCTGTTTAAAGCACAACTAAGTAACTTTCGGTGCTAGAGCTCCCCCTACTGCTGTCTTATCAGAATACACTGTCTCAGGGAACAGCCTCAAAAGTGTGTTTTTCCCCTTTTCTTCTCTTTTCTTTTTTATTGAAATAAAGAAGCGTGATCACATACAATATATAATGTTGTCAAATATAAAAAGAGCCAGAGTTTTCCAGGAGAACTCTCTTCAGGTCCGAGTCCGCCAAATTGAAAGTCTTGTTTTCCGCTGAGAGACAGGGGGGTGATGGATGCTTCAAATGCCCCAAAAATATATATTTAACCATTACTTATAGAGACATTTAGTGAAATAAAAATGTTACTATGCTGCTTTAAGTGCCATTTTTGTTCCCCACTCTCCTCTTTTTAACAGCACACTTATTGTGCAGTAAATGCATTTTGAAGTACTTTCGAAACGTCGCATCTCTCATTCCATAAATTATTGGGCTCAGAAAACGTGGCAAGATGTAAACAATAATATAATTCGCAAACCTTATCTCCAAAATATACGCTGGAAAAATTAAACGTAGCACAATCTCCACACTAGGTGAAATGTACGATAGCATGCACATCGCTAACTGCGCTCCATGTAGCAAAATTGTATTCCTAGCTTTTTGTGCTAACACTTTCTCTGTAGCTAGTGCTCTAGCTGCAAACAAAATACGTAAATAGGTATATACAAGTATTAAGAAAACAAATGAAAAATAAAGTATGTCAAACACTAATCTTTTTGTAGCTAAATTCGGATCTTTGAACACATTTTGACGAATGCAGAAAACAGATTTGTGGAAGAAGCTAAGAGACTCCCTCGCAAGCGTCGTAAACAAATCAGAAATTGCAGGCGCTACGCAGATAAACCACATGAATCCTATGGCGTAGTAGGTTTTCCTGACGGTACAGATTTGCCCGTGCCGTAACGGGTTGCAGATGGCGATGTAACGTTCAATCGCCATGCCGGCCAGGTTGACGGGAGTGTTCCTGGTGGTGAAGACGGCCACCAGGATGAAGAAGCAGCAGAAGGAGACGTTGATGCGGTAGAAGATGTAGCTTAGCACAAACAGGGTGCTAGTGACTGTGAGCTGGAGCATGTCGTTCAAAACCATGTGGATGAACAGGATGTAGCGAGGGTCTGAGTAAAACACCTGATGGTGGATCAGATATTAGATCAAGTTAACTGTACAGCATTTTGCAAAACCAACTTGTTCTAATGGTGTTCCCTCATTATTAGCTTACTTATAACTTAGCTGTATTTTGACTGCCTCATGCTTAGGGTTGGCAACTCCCTGAAAAATAAATAAGGGACACCTCATTGGCAGGGCCGGTGTTCTGTCGATTTGAGTTACCAAACGCTACTGCACATATGCACAACCCCCAAGCGCTGCTCCAGTTTAAATGCCATCGATTTGAGCTCCCGAGGCAGAACCTACGTTAGGCTGCAGGTAGCTCATTTTGATGGGGCACCCTATTTCAACAGAACACTGTAAAGCACTGTCAGCGCCACTGTTGTCCCCGCTTTGCTTTGTTGTTTTCTGGTATCTTCTTCGCAGCGCAAGCAACCTCGACCAATAAGATCATCATCAAGTGTGTGCTGTCACAGAGCAGGAGAGGCATAGAATATGTTTACTGTAAATTTTCTTATAAAGGGCCATGTATTCATTCATTCCACTGACTACACACTATTTTTGATTCTCACAGTAATACAGGACAAAGTGTGTCCCTTTTCAGCTCAATACGGCACAAGTACTTTTGCTTCTGAATACGGGACAATTTAATTTTTCAAGGCACAGACAGCAACCGTACTCATGCTTGTTTCAGTAATCCTGTATTGTTCTACATTTGAGGCCAGCCATTTTCTAACAATAAAGACAAGTAATTGAAAGCTTACTGCTTGTTCTGGTGGAATATCACTATGACCAGGTGTAGCAGGAGGCCCATACACCTGCTGGTTGTGTATTTGTATGAGACCTGAACATAGCAGAGAAAATAATTTCTGGTCGCTTCTGAAGTCATATGTTGTCTGTTTGGGAAGAGTGCAGAGCTTTGATATAAAAGCTCTTTCTAGATTGTTTTGGCATTTGAAAACTACACAGTTACCCTGGGCTCAAACTGTTCCAAATAGTGGTCTGAGGAGCTCAGTGGCCCGGGCCGTGCAGTCCGTTAGTGGCGGTAGAGGGGCAGTGGCACCCCGGATTCTTACTGTTGATATTCTATCCTTTAGTTACGCATGAACACGTGGTTTTGTGCGTGCAGCTTCAAATGCATTGAAACAACAACTCAACAGAACTTCACTCTGAGTGTGAGTCTCACACCACATCTGAACCGGTCTAATTTTATTGAAACATGCTTTACCTAAATATAAATACTAATTTTTGTATATTCTGATGGCTATTTCTTTATGGTAATGATAAAAAGAAGGAGAAAAAAGAAAATAATTTTATTTATTCTTCAAAATTGTATTATATGGACAGTCTAATCTCTTACTCTTTTCACACTAATTAATTAAGTAGTACCTGTATAAACAAACTCAATTAAGCTTTGAAAGGCCCCTTAAACATGAGTCTACTATTTTGTATCATTATTTCAGTCTGATAGAGCAAATAGGCCTGTGTTATTTGTATTTAATTTACCTGGTGTTTGAAAAAAGTTGTGACCAAAATTCCGTTGATGTAATTGAGGATGAGACAAACTACCACCACAATGAAGTTTTTAGTGAAGGCATTGGCGAATGTGTCCCTGAGCAGCACCTCCTGGGAAAACACAACATAACACAAAGTACAGATTCAGAAATCAGGTTTTCTCATTTGATATTAGATATATTCTATTATATGTGACAAATCATAATTGCTTTTTGCATTAACATATATTTAAGAAAGTATAAAGTAAATAAATAAACCTTTTAAAGTTCATCTGGCAGTTTAAACTACTCATTTTATTAAAACTTACTTAACATAATTATATTTAAGATATTTTTTGTAGGCAGGTAGGTCGGTTGCAACATTTCTTCTCAGTATTTTTACTACAGTATATAAATAATGTGTGCATTCTGACATTATATAGCCCCAACCTTACTAAACCTTCTTTCAAATTGAATAACTCCAAACAAAACACATACAATGCCAGTTGTGTTTCCTCCTGAGGTCACAGTTGAATTCATAGTTCTTCGGTCTCTGCTGGGGGAAAAGAACAAACTATCTGAATCTTTAATGAATATCTTGTCACTTATAAATGCAATATAGACTCTGATCTATAAGGTTAATTATCTGTCCATAAATGTATAAATGTTTATGTATTATGTAGCAGTGTTATGCTTTAGCTTCCTGACAGTATATGATCCTTTTGGTAAATATCATTAGACCAACTCTGTGTAGCAGATTAAAGGTCCTATATCACGCAAAACTTATGCCATGTTACCTCATCAAACCCAGACCACGGTTTGTGTTTTATTTCATTCACATATATTTGAGTAACAGTGCATTATTAGGCTGCCTGCATCTCCAAAGGTCAAAATGCTCTGTTCCACCTTGTGATGTCATGTAGTTAGTTTTGAAGTTAACAGCTACATTTTAGTTTTAGTTTAGTAGAGACTGGAAATCCCAGGTCTGACATCATCCAAATGATTCTAGTGGAACACTTCCTGTATTACCATATAACATCACAAGGTAGAACAGAGTGTTTTCACTTTGAGAGAAGAACTCAGCCTAAATATGCAGGATTTGTCTGTTAAACAAGTGTGAATGAACCAAAACACAACTACAGGTTTATTTTTGATGAGGAAACAACATTATAACATAGATCAGAAAATAGGGTTCTTTAAATGCTATTCATTATTACTGCATAGGCCGTTTGAACATTGAGTACATTGTAAGAACAGTATAAGCATTAAACATGATCAGACATATGCACACAGTGACAGTGGACCTGGAGGTACATGCTACACTCACCTGTCTGCAGAGGGACAGAGCAGACTGTCTGACAGAGTCTTTATGCCCCAGGCTCATTCATATTCATCAGCACAGCCCACGGTGAAGAGGGAGGGCACGGTATGAAGGGCACATTTGATTTTTGACAGATAGATGTTTTTATGATGACATGCTCTCAGATGAGGGTCGAGTGACTTATGGAAACCCTTTCAAGATGTCAAGGCATCAAGAAATATCAATTCTATTAGTTTGACTGTATAATTATGTTTATTGCAGTTTTCTCAACTAGACAGTGAATGTCAGAACGTGAGATTGTCAGGTGGGTTAGAGCTGGGCCTCATAGTCATTTTAAGGTGAATGACTTTAGCAGGTTCTATGTTTGGTTGTCTGTTTATGTTCCTTCCTACTCTTTCATGGCCCAAAGCTCATAACTGTGCATAAGAAAGACAAGATCCACGATTCACAGGTCAGCACAGGTTTCCTCTGTAGTGTGGCCTATAGGACACATGGCTACAGCTTGATTCGTCTGGCACGCTGTGGAGTTCCAAACATAAAAGAACTGCAGTTGCCTGATTGCAAATCTTTGTCTTAAAGCACCATGCACCCAGAAAATATTTATTGTTCCTCAATACTATTAGAGCCATCTTAAGGCCGTCACACACAACAGGAGAATTTTGGCTGTGATTTGCTTCTCTCCAAGTTTGGTAAATTTAAACTGCAGCATCTCATCCACATTATCCATAGAAATAGTCCTCCACAAATAATGACAACCAGTTCACAAAACAGAGCTGTTAATCCAGTCTGAGGGATTCTTTGAAAGTTAAAAGGCGAGACTAGTTCCTGACATGTGCCTGTTTACATCCATGAGGCGTGCAGAATGAGGTGAAGCTGCAGATTAGCGATAGTGACTCTACTTCATGTGTACTTACTTGCCAATCTTTTATGTTTTAAAAATCATGTATCTGAAGTATTGATGATTGATGAGCTCAGATCTTTTGAACACTTAAGAGTCTCAAAGTGAGTTTACTGTAGAAAGGAAACAGTAGATGCGAGGTGTACTCACATCTTTATAGCCTGTGGTACGCAGCCATATCCTGCAACAGTCTTTGCAATTAGAGATTTTAAAGGCCCGTTCAGACTGGGGCGTCAAGGCATCCAGTTTATATGCAAAGTCTATGTGGACATGTGTCTAGGGTGTCCTGCATTTTTGCAGTGTGTCTTCGAGTGTCAGTACAGTGTGAATCTGGTGTTGACGCAAACCAGGACTAGACCAGGACTAGACTAGGACTGGACCAGGACTAGACCAGGATTCATAAGATTCTTAAAAACTGTTTAAGACCGAAAAATCCTGTAGTGTGGCAGCCTTTAGTCTTGGTCCTTTCCCGAACACCTAAATTGTCCTAAATTGCCAACTGCAACCACTGTTCCAAGTTACTGCGACAACCAAAAAACAGACTACACAAAGTATTTATCACTTTTTGTAAACAATTTTATTACATTCTCAGAATTAGTTTTCGATTGTTTTCTTATTAGAAGAAAAAAAAAAAGACTATTTTAAATTCATATGTATGAACAATGACAACATGAAATGTAATGACTGAATAACACATTCTACCTTGTCTAAAAAACCTCAAACAAATGTCACGACTCAGGGGACTGTTGCATCAGGAGAGATCATGTGTAGTCATATCACCTTGAGAGTGCCTGATCTTGTCTGACCTTAGGGGATAAGCAGGGTTGGGCCTGTACTGCGACTGGTGCTGTAGTGTAGTGTAGGTGGCAGTGGCTAGTCTATTGCGTAATGTTGCTGTGTTCTTAGGCAAGACACATCCTCCACCTTGTTTACTGCCTAGTAAAATTTGGTGATTGGGGTGATTGGAGAGTATAATGGTGCAGATTGGAAGCCTAACTTACATCAGTCTTCCCCAGGGCAGTCGTGGCTACAATATTAGTTTACCACTACTTACATGGAGTGAATGAATAATACAAAATAAAGCACTTCGAATGGTGCTATATTACTGTTATCATTAGTATCATAAAACCTAGACATTGAAAACAAGAAATACCATCTAAAATATCTTAAAAAACATAAATTCTTACAGTGAGTGGGGTCACCTCTCTACAGATCTAACCTGAAGACCGTGGAGATTCGTTTATGGCCATACTGTGGAACATTCAATTCACATCTCCATGGAGACAAGCAGATGACAGACCTTCACCAGACAAGTTACACAGTGCACCTTGAGTAGATACTGACCAAAAACAAGAATAGAAAGTGGTTCCAAATGATCAAATTGCAACTTTATTCCCTTTTCTACACAACAAGTATCGCTTTAAATATTTCCTGAACGTTTTGTCCCTGATCCCATACACCAGCGGAGTGATTAACCGCGGAAGTATGTTAACCAGCAACGCCACCCCAAAACGAATCGCCATGACACTTTCTGGAAACAAGCAGATCAGCCCATCACCTATCTCTCTTTTAACATATATCAGCATAGACAGCACTAGTTGGAAGCTCTGAAGAAGGATAGTGTTTCTGGCCTTTTTAGCATCCGAAGCTACAGATTGTGCTGCAAAAAGTACCTTAAAGTATGTGTATAAAAGTGTGAGCCAAACAGCCACCAGCAGCACTGCGTTTGAAATATCTTCCTTTACTATCAGATGTTGATGTCTGAAAATATTGCCTCGTGTGCAAAATACATTCAGATGGAAAAACTCAATGGACTCTGTGGCTAAAGTAACAAATAGGTCCGGTAGCAAATTCAGCGTGCATACTAGCCAAATTAACCCAATGACGATGTATGTTTTTCTCACCGAACAAATCTGGGAGTGTCGTAAAGGATAGCAAACAGCAACGTAGCATTCAATCGCCATGACGGCAAGGGTCATGGGGTTGTTTATGCTGGTGTAGGTGCCGATCATGGCTAAAAGAATGCACAGGGAGACGTTGATGGAGTAAACGATGTAGCTTAGCACGTGAATTAGCGTTAACATGGTGAGTAGGATGATGTCGTTGATGACCAGGTGGATGTAGAGGATGTAGCGAGGATTCAGGTTTAGAGTCTGGGGGGAAAAGAACAAAAATGTATTAAGGTGGTTACTTCCAAGTCATCATGGTTAAGTAAAAGCACAGACTGTATGTAAGGGTCAGTCACATTTCTAAGGTTACGTTCAGACTGCAGGGCTTAATGCTCAATTGCGATTTTTTTTGTGAAATCCGATGTTTTTGCGAGGTCGTTCACATTTCCAATTAAATGCAACTTGTATGTGTACTCCAGTGTGAACAGTAAATGGCCCGAAAGTGTCCCGCATGTGCACTGGAGGACACGATGATGTCAACCGCAGCGAGCGTGCTCTGTGTTTACGGAAGTTGTTCAAACATGGACACGAGCATTGAGCACCTGGAGATTTTAAAGTTCCTCTTGTACCGGAGTCAGAACATGTACAACTTAATTGTTTTAAGGAGGAGATTGAGAAGGAGAAGGACGAGGTTTTTGACCATGACGTTTTGTGGGGCAGTGGCAGCGATGTCCGTTGAAAGGAACATGTGGATGCAGAGATGTAACAAAGAGTGATGAGTGGCGATGTGCTTCGCTTCAGTGACACGGAGTTCATTAACAATTTTCGCCTACATCAGTGACTTTTGTGGCTTGTTGATAACGTGCAGGTCGGATGGATGCGCTTTGGCCGTTCAGACTGAAGTTGCATGTCAAAAGATCAGATATGTATCGGTTTTAGGAGCACATATCCAAGTGGCCTGGGTCACATTTGAAAAAATCGGATCTGTGTCATTCAGACTGTCATTAAAAGATCAGATACAGGTCACATAGGGACCAAAAAAACAGATTTGGGTCAATTCAGGCTGCAGTCTGAACGTAGCCTAATTTCTACCCCTTCCACTTGCCCCTTTAAATTGTGCAACAATTGTTAGGGGTTGAAAGTAAACCCCTACAAATTGGGACACCCCTTCAATCTTCAACAATCACATACAACAACAGTAGTCTCCGCCGCAGACGCAACAATCCTTTGCCAGAAATCCAACTTGCCGTCTACAATTTGTGAACTTATTAGGTCTCTGTGGTCGTGGTAGCAGCCATCTTGTAGGTGATTCGCAAGGCATTTTGGGAAATTGCTCATACCCCTCAGTTTGGAGTGTGCCTCTGAAAAATCTTCATTTGGAGGGGTATATAGCCCTATCACTTTCCCCTACCTCTCTGCCATAATGGTACCCCGACACGTGAACGCGCAAAATGGAGGGGTAGGGGAAAGTGGTATGGCGAAGGGGTGTAATGGGAGATTCAGCCTTAGACTTTGACAAACTTTACTGATCCATAAGGGAAATTATTTGGACACAGTAGCTCAACCATCACAATATAATATAATAACAAAGAGCGAAAATATAAATGGTAATAATAAATTCTAAATAAGTAGCAAAAACATAGCAAGAGGTGTCATATAAGGCATAATTATATAAATGTAAATGTACAAGGCAAAATAAAACAGAAAGATAAGTAAGAAAATATAAAATCACAGCTTTAAACAAGGAAGACAATGCAACAATGATATGATGATTGACAGGACATATGGTTATCCGTTACATAAGGGTGAGTTGTTGTTGTTATTGTAGGGAGCATTATCCTTATACCAGTCTTTACCTTATACCTTATGCATTATTCCAAATAGTAAAAGTGGGTGATGGCCAAGGTCTGGTTCCATTGGACTTCTTTGTGCACTCTTCACTGTAACTGATCCTGTTTTTTAGTTAGCTATTTTCTTTGTAAATCAAGATATGAACAATAATAAATGTCCAATCAGGTGCCTTCTTTCCATATTGCGTTTTGGCCAAACAGCAGCCTAAAGAGTCCAAAAAGCTTTATTTGAACGCTCAAATGCGAAGAAATAACAGCAGTGACTACACAACTCTACACAACAGCTTTGTGGTAAAATTGGTAATAAATCTAAATTACAGAATTTGGGAAAAACGATCGAAATCAACCCTACATATCAGCCCAAAAATATCGGCAGAGCTTATCGCCTATGAAAAAAACAGTCAGTCTATTATAGAGCCTTAGATTTTCTTGCTGACTGCTTAACATAGCCACTTAGTTGGAATAAGAACAAAAATCATTCTTCTGTCAAAGAACATAATTAACATACAGTTCCTCTGCATCCTTACTGTGGTGATACATCAAACCTGAGCATAAAACATTGGTATAAAACACACACACAGAAAAACTGTCTTTGTTCATCAGTAATATCATAACTATTGTGCAAATGTTTGTGAAAAGTGATCATCTGACCTCATGTTGTACAAAAGTGTACACCAGTACAGAGTTGACGTAGTTGATTGCGAAGCACAGACCAATGGTGAGGGCATTCTTCAGAATTATCGACCCAGAATCATCCTGGACTGCTATAGAAGTCACATTACTCCCAAAGCTTGAAAAGTTCATGGATCAGTAGTCTTGGTGCACAGAAAGCAACTAGGAAGAAATAAGAAGCTAGAATGATGTGTCAGATGTTGTAAAGGTTAGTGCAAGATAGTTGGAGTTGTGTTTTGTTTCAATAACACAATTAATTAATTACATTATTTAAATTTTGTTTTCTCTCACATAGAAATCACTCTTTTCCATCTTGTGGTGTCATGGTGTATATGGGAAGTGCTCCACTGTATTTTTTAAACTCCATACAACTTCACTACAATCATTTGGATAATATTAGCCCTGAAATTGTCAGTCTCTAGTGAACTAAAGGTAAAACGCAGCTGTTAACTTGAATCCTACCAGTACATTACATCCCAAGTTGGAACAGAGAATTTAGAGCTTTGTAGATGTAGACAGACTAATAATAATGGATTATTAAAGGAAACATGTGAATGAAACAAAACACAACTTCAGGTATGTTTTTGAGGAGGTTACAACATTCTAACATGAATAAACTGAATAAAATAAATTTTGCATAATAGTACCTGTTATGTGGTTAGCTTCTGGATAGCAAAATTTACTCATGCTACCCATTTACATTACACAAACATTCTCCTACTTCTAGAGATATGCACATCCAACAAAAATTGCGACTGCATGCTGGGTCCAAAGGCAAAATTAGTGCAAAAAAAAAAAAAAAGAGATCCGCACTGTTGTTCTTTGAAGATCCCAAATTTGTATTTCAAACACATTGTGGTGTGATTGAAATAAAATTTGGGGGCTTTAAAGAAATGCAATACAGCTCTCTTTCTTTTTTACGGAAACATTTTCCTAACCATAATCTTAACCATTTCCCCAGTCTTGACTGTAACCAAACCCTAACCTTCACCATAACCAGTTTCTTAAAATGAAAAAAATAACCCTGTTCCTAAACATCATTATTTCAATTTAATCAAAGTGGTAAAGTCGCAGAAGACCGTCCCATCTGACAGCAATCTAGTATAAATCTATTGTAAACTGTATTAAGCCTGTCAAAAGTATCACTGTACAGAAAACCAGAACAAGACTAGGAAGTATTACCTGTGGGCCCAACAATATCACATCTGAACTCATGTGAAATGAGGCGTGGACATGGGTAAATAAATATGATTGAATGCAAATGTCCTGGGATCAGCAATGAACACATGATATGTCATTTTGTTCCTGCATTTTGTATTATTTATTTATGTTATTATTTATTTTTATTATTATTTATTATATTTATAAACACTGCTACCATCATAATGTGTAAACAACTTCATAAAAATAAATCAATCACTTTCTGGCTTACCATTGCGTCATGTAAAGGGTTGAAAATGAGCTCAAATATGAGTCAAACAGGCTGGAGACTTATTATCCAAAATTTACTTTTTAGAGCTTTTAACCATTGCGACATTGGCTCCCACTGGGCCTTGCAATTTTTCAACCGGCAGTCAAGTGACTCAAAAATGTCATATAAAATGTAATGATCTAATGATTGCTCCAAGCAGTATTTTGTATTTATATTTATTTTGACCTCCATTAGCTGTGGAAGCACAACTATTCTTCCTGGAGTCTTTGTCTTTTATGGGGCATTTACATACATAATTGACATCATGATAAAAAGTTTTAAAAAGTTCTGTTAATGCAGAAGTATAGGGGAGGTGGAGCCATGGGATTGGACACAGAACAGGAAAGCCTCTTCTAAGCCTCACTCTTTGTCCACTCTGTTGTTTCAGGTGGTGATGAGATGTTTACTCTGGAACATCTTCTGTCATATTTAGTCAGCTTCCTTATGAGAAGACATGTTTTTTTTTCTTCTTTTCTATTTTCTTCTTATTAAAAAAGACAATATAATCACGTACAAAACATATAAGACATATACTGTCACCACATTTTTAAAAGAGCCAGGGTTTCCCCGGAAAATTCTCTTTGGGTCGTGTCCATCATACTGCAAAACAGTTTTTTGTAGAGACAGCCAGAGGAGACGACTTGTGTCTCAAATACGGTGAAAATACATCTAAGGGTCTGACAAAAATGTTTAATGAGGTAATAATGTAAATTTAAGGTTGCAAGTGAGAAATGGTTTGAATGTGATGGATGACATCAAATAAAATTAAACTGCATCCTGATGATGTTTACAAAAGTGAAAGCATGAATTTAAACAAAGTTTATCTAATATTGTTTTAAAGCAACAATGAAAACTATCTAACCCAAACATCAGTTTTACTCTCAAATACAAAGTTGAAAAAAACAAGGCACTCAGAAAGTTCCAAATTATTTCAAAGCCTTTATTACCACATGGGAGATTCAAAGTTTAAATGACACCAATTCATTAGTCGTTGCTCAAAGGTTTAATATTTGCTTGTACAATCCAGTATTTCAACTATCAATTCGATTTTTTTTCATACATAAAAAATAGTACTTTAGGTATTTCCTGAATGCTTTATCTCTGAGCCCATAGACCAATGGGCTGATCAGACGAGGCAGGAGACTAACAAAGATGACTATAAAGAATCTGATTAGCACAATACTTTCTGGAAACAAGTATCTTAGGCCAGACTCTAAAACACTATTGAGATAAGTGAGCAGGGAAAGCATCAGTTGAAAGCTATGCAGGAGGATTGTATTACGGGCCTTCTTCGCATCCATGCTTGCTGACTGCGCTGCAAGGAGAATTTTACAATATACGTACAAAAGAGTCAGGCACACAACCACTAACAACACACCATAGGAAATATCTCTCTTTTGTGCCAGAGTTGGGTGTCGGAAAATCATATTCCTTACACAGAACAAACGCTGATGGAAAAAGTCTAAGGATTCGAAAGCCAAGCTCACGAAGACGTCTGGTAGGTTGGTTAAGAGACTTGACAACCAAATTAACACAATGACGATGTAGGTTTTCTTGACTGTACAGTACCGGGGGTGGTGCAGAGGGAAGCAGACGGCTACATAGCACTCAATAGCCATGATAGCGAGGGTCATAGGGTTGTTTATGTTGGTGCAAACTGCTAAGATCACCAGCACCATGCACAGAGACACGTTCAGGGTGAACACGGTGTAGCTAAGGATGTAAAGCAGGCTCAGCATGGTCAAGACGATGATGTCGTTTATAACCAGGTGGATATAGAGAATGTAGCGAGGATTCAATGAGAAAGACTGAAAAGAAAAACAAGAAAAGAATACTCAGGATATATTTTTTTTAAAAAAAAAAAGTGTTGGATACATCTGGTATGCAGTTGCAATCAAAAATATTCAACACCCACTGCTAATTAGGTTTATTGGTAAGCATACCTCAAAGTCCACTAAGGCTTGACTACTTCTTGAACCCCACTGAAAATCTTTGGTGGGATTGCAGAAGCAGGTCTCTTGCTATGCATCACGTTTGCAGCAGGTCGTAACAGCAAAAGGGTGCTCTACTAAGTACTAAAGATGCTTGTCATGAAGGAGTTGAATAATTTTGAGACTACAGTAGTCATTAAAAGTAGCATTTTGTGCTGACTTTGGAGAAACCATTTGTAATCTCAGCTGTGAAGAGTTATTTAATTGTTCTTGTTTGATTTCTTTTTTGTAAGCAGCTGCTAGTTTGTACATTTTACCAATAAACCTAATTTGGAGTGGCGCTTGAAAAATTTTTATTGCAACTGTATGTTGTAGCATTAAAGGGCCCATATTGCACTATTTTCTGATTTGTTATAATGCTGTTTCCTCATCATAAACATACCTTAGCTGTGTTTTGTTTCATTCTCACATTTTAACACACAAACCCTGCACATTTAGACTGAGATCCTCTCTAAAACAGAAAACATTAATTGTTCAAAGTTGAAACCTCATAATTATTAAGCCTCACAGACTGAGATGAATGTTCTTTGCAAACAACAAATACTAGTATATTGTAGTTATGACAAAAAGCTAAACTTTCTTATTCAATCATTTAGACCTTTTACCTAATATTCTAAAATGGATTCATGTAATACCTTTGCAGTTCTCAAAACACACAACAGCTAACCATTCCTGGATGTGGTTAAAAATGGGTATATAATAATAATTTAAAAGAAAATTTGTATTCTGCATTTTGTAAGGTTCCATCAAATGTTTTTTTTCTCCATCGAAATGTTATTGCTTCACAGTGTAGTATAAAACCTTTCTATCTCCATGGATCCCAAACCAGACTAAGTTACAGGTCAGAGTGGCAACCCCACTCACAGTCAGAATGCCTGTTTTTCTAGGTATTTTTGAGCTATAAAACCACCTGTAACTGAGTAAATCTAAGGTAGAGCTGTCAGACACTGTAGTTTATACGACAATGTGAGCAAACATTAGAAAATATGACCTCATGCTGCACAAACACGTGCACCAGGACACAGTTTGATGCAGATGATGGTGAAACAGAGACCAACAGTGATTACATTCTTCAGCACCACGTCGCTCAGGTCGTCACGGGCAACGGCTGGAGTCGAGTTACTGCCACTAGTTTGGATGTTCATGTGATCAAGAGAAACTACACTGTGGACAAAAAAAGACCAGCCAGGTTAGAATTTAAGTTTTCACACAACAGCGAATTACAATATTTATTTCCCTAATTACCACAAATTGAACACTGAAGTACATTTTAGCATATTTTTTAGTTTATATTTAGTAGTGTAGTAGTTGATATGTAATTGTTGAGTGGTCCAGGTAGGTTTCATAGCAAATGAAAATTCAGTTCCGTCAACTGTACAAAAAAAAATTGTAGTTTATAATAAAAACATTATAAAATTGTGAATAAAGTCCAAATAAAACAAAAAAAACAATTGTATTAAGTTGTACTAGATATCGATAACTCTCAAGAAAATTGTCTTGAAAAAATATCCCAACTACTTTTAACAATTACTAAATCAAAAATGCTCATGTAATGGTAGAGTGTAGGTGGACTTGGAAAACAATAATGCATAGTACATCTTAAACTTCATCTAAATATAAATGAGAACATAAAACTTGTTGAACTACCACAGATACCAGACTAATCCAATATTGATGAAATTTTTTTTTTGGGCCTGTGTATTATGGCACCAATAATCCCAATATGTAACAGCAACCTATCACAATTTTTAGTGCACAGCCGTCTGGTTTTCTCACAATATATTTTTGCAAGGAAGAAAGATAGCCATCCCAGCTTTAAAGAATCAAAACAGAGAAAACAATCCATTAAGAGAAAGAATCACCTGTAGAGCTTTGAATGGTGTTCACAGTGGCAGTAGGAGGTCATGTCATTAGAAGATTAATTTATAGGGCTTAATGCAGTTGTCTTGGGACCAGTATCACATTTAGAGTTATTTTCATATGGCATCCTTTCTTTGCACCTCTATACACTAGGGGGCGATATACCTGCTGGGACTCCACTGCTGTGAGCATTTGAACTAAACTTGTCAGTACATTTCAAAATACTGGGGACAAAGAGGCTTTTTAATTTTATGTTTTATCTGCTATCGGCCCAATAATCACCCAAACTTTCAGTGTAGCCACAACTGATTGAATGTATCATCGCACACTGTATATGTGTGTTTATGCTACACATAAGTCTGGATTCCACCAAGTGACCAGTTTCCCCCATCAACCTAAAACAGGCACAGAAGACTTATCTTCTGGCTAGATGAGCCTGATCAAGAACATTCAAATGTATAATGTCAATTTCCATTCAGGGCCAATAGCTTAACCTCTAAACCACCTGCTTTATAGGGGAAAAACTCAAAATCAAAAGACTCGGGGGCAAAAAAAATTTGATTGGGACATCCCTAGTTACATCACCTGTGGGAGGAGTGGATGATGGATTGAGAATACATTTTCGTGGCAATGCACCATGCAACTTTCCTGGACGTCGTTGGATGGATCCATAAAGCCTGGACTTCAGTGACAACTGAAACCATCCTGTCGGGATTCAAAAAGACTGTAATAATTCTAACTGGAACTGATGCCGAGTCTGATGACAGCTACACAGAAGAGGAAGCTGCGCTCCTTTTACCTCCCGAGATTTCGGAGTTGCTCAGAAGTGACACCGAGGATGAAGAATTCAATGGATTTATTGATTTGGAGTGAGATGGAGAGTTTAGTCAACTTGTTCTGTTCTGTTGTTTATGTTGTTGTTATCTGAAGAACTGTTCATATGAGACGTTAACAGGCTGTTGTTCTCTGTTCTATTGTTATTACTATAACTTGCCTTTTAAGATGAAATATCGGTTCCTGGTCTCTGATTTAATCCGTGTATCATTCGTTCATTCGTTTTTCAATATAAAACCAAAAATAAGAAAACGAAAAAACAACAGTTTTTCTTCGTTATTTGTCTCCAAAACCAAAATGAAAAAACGGATAACGATTCGTTTTTTCAGTTTTCGATTTTGTGTTTAAATGAAGAATGGAAAAAACGGATAACGGCCGTTTCCCGTTTACGTGACTTCCGTGACTGCGATGCCGGACTTTTGCACCGGGTACGGACTGAACCGGGACTGATCCAGGTCCGAGACCAGACCGAGACCAGAGCGGGACTGAGACCGGGACCAGGGCGGACTCCGAGCTTTGACTCCGGGCCTCCACGGGGTCCGAGCCTCAGCTTCGAGCTCCGGCCCTGCCGTGGGCTCTGAGCCTCCGGGTGCTTGTGAATACTGCTGTGCTCGGGGTCCTACACTTGGTCGGCGTTCATCGCCTGCAAGTCATTGCTCATGTTTTTAAATCAGACCCACAGACACGCGCGCCTCCATTCAACAGAAGCACACACTGCACGCACACGGTCAAAGCGAAACCACTCCCACTAGAACTACTACAACCACTCCAGCTCCTGCTCCGGGATACAGAGGGATGTGAGCTAAATACATGCGTACCACATGAACTTATATAAACTAATGTCAACATGTAAAGCAACAGCCTCGTATCTCAGCCTGCAAAGAGTTAACCTGAACTACATGACGTAACCTGGAGAATAAACATGCAGAGGGGCTCAAGTGTTTCTGCCACGCCAAATGACCAGACTGTTAACATGGCTCACCCGCACTCTGAAGCGGAACATGGCGAGGCGCACACAGTGGCTGAGGCAGGCGGGCGGCAGGAACCAGGCCCGGGGAGGCGGGGTGGCCTTACTGCCGACGTGGTTCACGATGAGCTGCGCGGTCTGCCGCTGGCCCTGTACGCGCCGCGCCCACTCGGGCCAGCGCTCCTTCCCCAGGGTCCCGTTAAACACCACCACGAGCTCCAGGCCGCCCTGGTACAGACAGGCCTGCGACAGCGCGGCCAGGTAGCCCAGCATGGCGTTCCACTCTCCGCCGCACACCCAGTCCGTCTGGTAGCCCCCGTATAGCCGCTGCAGGCCCGAGTCTGCGTCCATGAGGATCCGGGTGGGAGGTGGGGGAGGCCCCGGGTGATGAGGGTGATGGTGCGGGTGATGAGGAGGCTGGCGGGCCGCTGTCCGGGCCAACTTCAGCAGGTCCACGGGGACCGCGGCCCCGGGGCATCGCTTCTCTAAGTACTCCTGAAAGCCCTGCACTCCCATGACGGTGTTACTGAGCCGGTGCGTGTGTCCGGGAGCGGGCTCCGAGTATGTCCTGTACGCCGTGTTTGAGTGTGTGTGAGGGGGAGACGGGGGCTAGCTGTGCGCCGAAGGCGAGCTAACTCTGGGTCTCTGTAGTGACTGAAGCTGGAACAAGTGCCTGGCGGAGCTCAACAGTCCACAGTAAACAAAACGCCTCAGTTTTGGTCGAGTGTAGTGTCCATTTCGGTGGATTTTTGGTGAGTTGCCAACAAGGCCAATGTCGCTACCTACAGGCAGAAAAAGTTCCGTGTGCCCATAATGTGCCCTAAATCCTGCAGCTCTGGCAGCTAATGGCGGATACTGGGGGGGTTTGTGCAGTGACGGGGTGAAAAAGAATAAGACGGCAGCGGGATGAGCACATTAAACGGATGGATACTGCGCATTAGTGCAGGAGCCACAGGCTGCACGGCCACTCCGCGGACATGTTGAGCCCAGTACGGTCCGATCGGGCTTTTCTGTGACAGCTGCGCGCCCCGCGTGGGTTCAGCGTCCTGACGGGGGTTTGTGTGATACACGACAGCAGCCTGTTGCCACGCGTGTTTCTGACACGCACCTGTGCGCGGAGCGGGGCACAGCTAAACTAATGTGAGTGGGAGCTAGCCGCGAGTTAGCCGAGTTAGCCGCTTTAGCCGAATGTGTGAGTTAGCCGCTTTAGCTGAGGCAGGTCCCGGCGTGATTTGACGCGTCACTCCCGAAGATGAGCCCGGGGCCGACACGACGCGGAATGAGATGGATGTTTGACGAAAGAAAAGAAAAGTAACTAAAAGAAAATAAAAAGAAAAGCCCGATGGTGCCTCCCTCGCGGTCTCGCGCTCTCACGGCTTCATGTTGCAGAAGGGAGCAGACTTCCAGCCACGGCAGCCATCTTGAGACTTCCTCGCGGCCCGGAGCAGTGAAGGCGGGCGAAGGGCGGAGGCAGCACTGTGAAGGGCATCCTGGGAAATGTAGGCTCCCAGCGTCACCTCCCACATTACTCACATTTGTAAAGAACAGAATAAAAACTACAACTACCACCAGTAGCGTCCAGGCTACGTTTAATGCGTGGAGTTCAGTTACTTCATGTTTTAATGTAAATTTATTTGTTAATTGTATTGTTATTTTGTGCAGTTTGGAACACGATTTTACGTTTAATCTCACGTAAATCGACTCTTTGCTTGTATGATGAATTAACGAGCATTAGTTGTGTCAATTTACACTTTTATTGATTTTATTAATTATTTGTGAGTAACTCTGTATCCTAAGGTTTGAAGTGATCATTCTGGTCTCTTATTTTCAGGGATGATGATGAAAATGTGATGGATGAATTTGAGGCAGTAACAGGTTGTGAGTATTTTGTGTGTTTATGTCGCCGCCTGGTGGTAAAACGTGAACCACTTTCTCCATCTCTCTCCTCAGCTCCTGTGCTCTGCATCCTTTTTTCTCACAGTGATGGAAGAAGTACAAATGTATTACTTAAGTAAAAAGTACAGATACCAAAGCAAAGAAATGCTCAAGTAAAAGTAAAAGTCTCACATGAAAAAATCTATTTTAGTAAAAGTATTAAAGTACCTATTTAAAAATGCACTTAAAGAGTAAAAAGTAAAAGTATTTCATGCAGATTTTGAAATCAAATGAAGCTTCAGATGTAATGATTTTGAAGAATTGTGCTAAATTTTATTTTATTCAACAGAAACAACTGAATCAATCTTTTTATCTAGCTGTTTTTTATGTTTATTGATATTATACTTTACTCAAATTATGAATGAGTTAAAAAATAAACCCTCAGACTTTTCAGCAAGTTTCAAACAATCATAAAAATGCTGTTACTTTTCAGTCCTGTTCAAAAATATAGTGAAGTAGAAAAATACAGATGCTCTCAGATTTAGTGAAGTAAAAGTAAATAGTATGTACTTGAAAATATACTTAAGTAAAGTAAATATACCTAAAATGTATACTTATGTACAGTACAGTACTACTTTTACTTTGCTTTGTTCCACCACTGTTTTCTCAGACTAAAAATAAAACTTGTATTGACATAATTGGTTTACTTATTTGCATAAATAAATAAATAAATATATAAAGTAAATCTACTTGAATATTTCAATCCAAAGAGCATAGGAAAATAATTGAGTGTAAATGGAAGATGTTTTGACAAGACAAAATAGAATTGGATAAAAGATACAACAGCAAAAACACAGTGCAAGACAATACAAATGTTGTGCTCAGCTTGTGTTAAAACACAGCGCAAACAAATGTTTTCAGAGATTTGGCTGTTCTGTTCTGTTTCTCAGTGGAAGACCAGTGTCTGGGACCTGCTGCAGTAGAAGAGGTGAGTCCACTCACAGCAAGAATGCCTGTTAGGGTTTGTTTATTTAGTGTTAAAAAAAAAAAAAAAAAAACTTACATGGAAAAGTTACATAGTGCACCTTTAACCCACAGTGAAGGAGTCGTGGGCAGCATATTTGAAAACTAATATGAAATAAAAAGTAATGACATATGATTAAAACTAAAAATTGTTGTCAATAAATTGTTCTTGTTTGTGGTAATGACTCTATTAAGCCACAGAGAGGCGCTGATGGGTCAGTGATGTGACAGTGATGTGACAGTGGCATTTTTGTGTATATATTAATATATAAAGGTTTAAATTGATTTGTTTTATATCACTTTAGTTGCACAAATACAGATTTGGATGAAGAAACCAATTCTAAAAGAATATTATAGGTTTAAAGTATTAAAATGTCATACGATGAAACAGGTCACATAAAGAGTCAGTCACAACATTTGCTCGCAACAACAACAAAACAATTGACATCATTTTAGAAGCCTTGACATGAACATATAAAAGTATTTTTTTAAATGAACACAAAAGAACTACTTTTAATGTTTTAAATACAGATGTTCTCAAAAAACGATTTCATCATTGTCATTCAGTAAAACAAAGTTAAAGGGCCATAATCTGAGCTCTTTCCTCATGTATCACGTGATGACATCACTCTGAGGACCCGGCACAACTCTGAGGTGGACTCAAGTCTCAGATTTGGCTTTTTAGTTTTTGCTGGTGACGCCTTTGTCACGAGAAGTACAAATGCCACAACTTTGGATGTCATTTGGTGATTTGAAATCATGCTTAGTTTGAACAGTCAGTGTTACTTTTTGATGGATAAAGTATAAACCAGTTTAGAATGAAAATGTATGAAAAATGTCATTCAGTGACACGAAATGTATACTTCAGTGAAACAGAATTAGTCATTTTGTGAAACAGATGTGTGCCTGTTGATGGTAACTTTAAGTATTTAACTCAAAAATAGGTGTGTTTATTTTACAGTTTTATTTGTGTTATTATAACTATATTTGCTACTATGTTACAGTAATTATTTTCATTTTAAATGTAAAATAATCACACAAATAAAGGAAATTAGGTTTTGTAGATTCCTTAATAATTATTCAAAATGCAATTGGACAGTAAGTATATTAGTAGTTAGTTAGATAGATGTTGTTGTGGAGTTTTTTATCAAGCCAAGAAAGAAAAGCCATTTTTGTATTTCAGTTGAACCGTCACTGAATAACACGTCAGATGTCTGCAGCTGATATTACTGCGAAATGTGTCAGGAAAAGTTTGTTTTGAAGGGGGGGGGGGGGGGCGCATGCATGTGTGTCTGTGCGTGTGTGTGTGTGTGTGTGTTATCATAGGGGTAAACACAGTAATGTAAATATTGCATTAAAACCTTAAAAAGCATCTTCCACTGATGTCACAGTGAACAAACATCAGGCTGTAAAAAGATTTTTACTCTGCAAAATCCTAATTATTACAAAGGTCTATATTGACTTGTAATATTCCAAAAAGCAGCTACACACTTCTGTTTTTTTTTACATGCCTCAACTGACATGACGTCATATCAGTTACAAATACCAGAGTACTTGTACTTGTCCTCAATATCTGCTGTTGTTCCCTTTATAATCAGTAGTTGGTTCGCTCAATTGGTAAATCACTGGACTTCCACATGGGAGACCTGGGTTCAAATCCCCTTTTAGACTCTGATTGTTTTTTCTGCAACATATAATTAAAGAATACAAACATTATATGGAACATACACAGAAAATGTAGTTGATCATGAACATTACCTGTAAATGTCATGCAAAATGTTCACTTTATCTTTACTAATTTTTCATAATATAGTTGTATAAGAAAAATGCAAAAGGAGTGACTTCCAGGAGTAAACCACACATGACACATATAAACCTTATATAAAGATTTACTACAAAGACACTGGTCAATTCTTACATTTTTTTCCCAGTTTTTTTTTTTTTTTTTCCATATGGGTTAACACAGTGTTAGAGCAAATTGTGAAATTCTTTAAAACTTTAAGAAAAAAAAAAAAAAAATATATATATATATATATATATATATATATATATATATATATATATATAAAAAATAACTTTTTGATGGTCTGGTCTGTTTTGTATTTGTAGATCTCAGCTTGTGTTTTTCATAATTTTTAGTAATATAAGTTATTTTAAATGTAAATACATTTTAACAATACATCCTCTTCACTGAATGATATGTTTAATAAGACATCCCTGGTTTTAAATGCAGAAAATTTTATTTATTTATTTATTTTTCTAATTAAGTTTTTGTTCATTTTT